AAAAAACAACTAAAAACATTGATGTATCGGCAGGCCTTCCCGTTTATCAACTCCTGATCCCCCTTTCCTTCTACTCCCTAGTTCTGTCCCATCTTGTTGCAACTTTTCCTTTGTATAATTATTTTAACTGTATTGTTGTTGTTTTTTTATTGTTGTAAGCCGCCTAGAGTAATCTTAATTGATTAGATAGGCGGGATATAAATAAAATAAATAAATAAATATTTGGAACTTTGTCCTGCCAGATGATACCAAAAATGTGTCAGAGACAATGCATATGGAATGTGTTCAGCTTCCTCTCCTGCCATGCACAAAGAGTCCAGGACTCACTGCAGTACAGGAGTGTGCTTAAGACACAGGCTCTATAGACCTGGATCTTGGTATATGTCGTCAGCTTCTTATTGAGCCATACTCTCTCAATATCACATAACAGGATGTTAGAATATTGAGAATTTTACAGGCCTGAACAGGTCAAGACAGTAGTGGTAATAAGCTGCCATAATGATCACCTGTGTAAGACTCAGAAGTGCTGAGTCACAGTGACTGTGAAGAAGATGATGCAACACCCATGTATGAAGATGATGCAACACCTGTCTTGATTGGACAGAGGCATCTGCTTAAATGTATATAAGTGTACAATGTGTATGATATAAGTGTACAATGTGTATGTGATGTATCTTTTTCCTCTATACTCTGTTCTGCTATCCTCTATGCAATTTGCCTCTATATTGCTGCCACATCGAAGGACTGCTGCTTTATATATTTGTACATTTCTGTAAATACACGTGTCTTTAAGAAGAGTGTGTGTGCATTTTTCTTAAATGTATATAAGTGTACAATGTGTATGATATAAGTGTACAATGTGTATGTGATGTATCTTTTTCCTCTATACTCTGTTCTGCTATCCTCTATGCAATTTGCCTCTATATTGCTGCCACATCGAAGGACTGCTGCTTTATATATTTGTACATTTCTGTAAATACACGTGTCTTGAAGAAGAGTGTGTGTGCGTTTTTCTTTCATCAGAACTCTGCAAACTACCAGCAAGAAGCTGACACAGGATAAAGACCCTGACACTGAAGCCTTGGAACAAACACAGCATTTTTGCAATGATCGAACAAGAACTTCAGTGGACTGTCCATGTCATCAGGATGGCAGATGATCATCTATCAAAAGGTGTTTTTTTAATGGAACACTTGTTTTAGGTGTTTGACTGCTGGATGACCAAAGCAGTAGTTCAGGGATACACTGAAGACAACACTGAGGGAATTTCATATTAACCATGACAATTGGGTTGATTTGGGCTATTTAGTCATGTGCATGTCCATCAACATGTTACGACTCAACTTTAGCCACCCATCTCTTCTTTCACTTACCCCCCATGGTGAATCTGATTGAAATTGTCTTCTTCGAAAATGGTGGATGGGATACATACAGAGAGAAGCAGCTATCTTTAAAGAAAATGAAAGTCATTGGTATAAAGTCTCCAAATATCTCTGTTTAGAATAACACAAAGTACTGTTGTCTGTTATGTAGATATATATCCATGTAGCCCCAGTATTGCTTTTCCACTGAGCTGTAAGCCCCATATTTTAAGGGTCATAATAAGCCTTAAATGTCCTTCTATAATCATAGAAAAACCTTCCTTTTGGAAATCTAATTCTTAGTTTCTGGACACTTACCAAAAGCATTGCAGTTTTTTACACTAATGTTTAGTATTCATGGAGCGCTTATATTCATTTATTCTTAATTTGTTCCTTAAATTGCCATCATTAGACACTTACTTCAGATGCTGAATCAAGTTGTTGACATTATGCAGCCTTTCTTTCTGCCCTCTTTTTAATCTCTTTTTAGGTGCTTTTATCTTCTAATGGGGTTGTTATTACCCTGAATTCGTGCCCATCATACATTCCAGAGCATCTGAATCTGTCAAAACAGTTTGAGGTGTTAGGTGCCGTCTATTGGTTTTCAGCTGACAGAACATAAGTATACAGTTTTCTCATTTCAGCAGGTCCTTTCCAATATTGAAGTTCAGCTTTATTATGACATCTCACATGCCCTTTCCACATATGAAGCCATAATGTTGCTTCTCATCCATCACTGTTTGGTTTTTGAACAATCTGTGAAAATAGGCTCAGTTCTGTACTGTTGTCTGCAAACTTCAGCAACTGGACTTTTTTTTATCTTGTTCTGTGTATAGCTGTGGGCATAACCAAGATTCAGCTCACCTTTTGTAAAACATATACATACATAGCAGTTGAGGTCTTGCAAGGAAGTCTGCTTCTACCAAACCTCTTTGCCATGCTTGTAATAGTTAAAATATTGCTGTTTTCATTCAGAAATGGAGAGACTCAAGAATTGCTATAAGAGCAGAGTGACACCTCCAATTCCCAGTCCATCAGGCTCATAATTGGACTTTTTCAGAGAAGGCCTTTTTTGGTGGCAACTGCAAGGAGAACAAACCTATCAATTCTAAAGGAAATCAAACTTGAGTGCTCACTGGAAGGACAGATCCTGAAGCTGAGGCTCCAATACTTTGGCCATCGCATGAGAAGAGAAGACTCCTTGGAAAAGACCTTGATGTTGGGAAAGTGTGAAGGCAAGAGGAGAAGGGGACGACAGAGGATGAGATGCTTGGACAGTGTCATCGAAGCTACCAACATGAATTTGACACAACTCTGGGAGGCAGTGGAAGATAGGAGGGCCTGGCATGCTCTAGTCCATGGGGTCACAAAGAGTCGGACACGACTAAATGACTAAAAGACAACGGCACATTTCTCAGATGTTCTCCTCATGAGGCCCACCTGGTGCTGACATACTCATCTTTCTGGCAGCAGAACAAGACTTTTACTGTCATATCCCTACAATTTGTTTGCAGGGAGGAACTGTTGCCCATTGTATGTTGTTGTGATGGAGACATTGTTTTAACTTTTGTATATTTTAATTGTCAGATGCCTTGAGTCTTTTCTCACAGGGAAAAGGGTCCATGAAACAGTAATAATAAGTAAAACTACATGAAATCCAATGGAAATATTAGAAGAAACTTGTTTTGCACAAAACATTCTATGATTCAAAAACTATTACATATTTATAACCAAAGTCAGTGAGGTTTAATTAGCATTATAGATAAAATACTGTCCAATAGCCCTGTGCTGTTATTGTTGTTATGGGCCATCAAGTCAGAACCAATTTACAGCAGCCCTAATAGAGCTTTCAAAGTAAGTGTGATATTTAAAGAGTAGTTTATCAGTTCCATACCCTCAGTGAGTTTCCACAGCTGAGCAGAGATTTGAACCCAAAGCTCCTGAGTCCTAGTCCATAGATCTATCCACTATACCATACTGGACATGCAATAGCGCTGGCTTAATTCAAATTAAAATCTCAGGAGTTCCACCTTACAGTGCCTGTTCTCTGTGCTCTCCCTTCTTTATTATGCTCTGCTTGCTCTCGCTCGCTCTCTTTCTCTGTGTCTTCATTTTAGTACTCATTCGTCTCATCCAAAGCATACAACTCTCAGAATCTTCCAGCCAACATGACTCTGATGAATGGACATTTAGAACTCTATCATACATAAACTTACAGCATAATGAAAATATGTATGAAAATACGTAAAGTTTCTGAATTAATTGAAAATGTTTAAAATTATTGAGCTACACAGTTCTTCAGGCAACAAAAAATCTTGCAGTCGTTTCTACTTTCTAATTCTTATTCGGGCTTTATGTACAAGTTTCCCCTGCTCCTGCCCCACATATACACATTCTCAGTAGGATTACAGCTTTCTTAATACCACAAGAAGCATTTAATACTAGAATTTTCCAAGATGGAAGGAGGAACTATCTTTTGTCCTTCAGGGTGATAGAAACATCTTTTTTGTCTTCTGTCTGTTTGCTTTCATTTGAGGTTCTCTCACATCGGGTCTTCAGCAAGTACTAGCTTAGCAAAGGCCAAGGAATACTGAGGAGAAACATAGCAATATTCCACCGTACATGAAAAAGGTTCAAAGGATATAAACCTGGCTCTATGTTTGGGCTTCTGTCAGCTATGTTAGCAGAGATATCTCTTGTATATCTGGAAGAAAAGGAGGGGAAGGAGAAAGTGAGGGGGGAGTTGGAGGTGCATAAATAGTCTGCAGCAATCTTCTCATGGTGTCCTATACCTTACCTCACCATTGCAAGTTGTGTTTGAAAACCCACAAGCACATACAATATGGAGGGGAAATGAACTGATTTGGTGCTGGAGCAGATGGCTACACATGTGAGAAATATCACAGGAAAAGTCACTGGCAGCCTGTACCCATCCGGAAAATTCCACACAAACCAAACAGGGCAGGAAGAGGGCGATGAGGATCCTGACACAGTCACTGTGACCCTAAGGGTGTGTGAGCTAGCTCATGTTTGCAATGAAGACTAGATGTATTCGCGAAGGCTTTCACGGCCAGGATCTAGTGGTTGTTGTGGGTTTTTTGGGCTCTTTGGCCGTGTTCTGAAGGTTGTTCTTCCTAACGTTTCGCCAGTCTCTGTGGCCGGCATCTTCAGAGGACAGTGTTAGTGCTCTTCTCTGAAGGGTGCTGTCCTCTGAAGATGCCGGCCACAGAGACTGGCGAAACGTTAGGAAGAACAACCTTCAGAACACGGCCAAAGAGCCCGAAAACCCCACAGCAACCAGAAGATTAGATGCATTAAATCAACAGATCAGATTTCTCCTAAATAAAATCCATTTCAAACAAGCCCCTTTGTGAAAAGGGGGCAGGCAGACAGGTTGCTGCCAAGTTTTGAAAATGTACCAAAGGAGGGTAATCAAGACTGTCAAGTATTTTAACATGCTGTGATTTTTTTCCTCCTGACTGATCAAATGCCTGAACCAGTTATATTGAATTAAATTCCAAAGCCTAATCAGGGCTGTGTATTTATTTTCTTAGATCATGTCTTTTTGTGTGATGAAGTGATAGGAAATGTTAGATACATCAATTTCTTTTTATTTGCCCATCAGTTTTTCACATCCTCTGTATATGGACACCAGAGTCCCTATAAACACTTAATTATTCTTCCTGTCATGTGCTGTCTGTTTTCTTTGGGTGGGTGGGTGGATTAGTAAAGTGGTCTACAATTTTGCAGATCCTGTCTGGTTACTATCCCACAACAAGGTTTCTGTGTAAGAAAATTAGTACTACATTTTAAGAGTATGAGGGCCAGGCTAGACAATAAGGGAATGCATATCGCCTATAATTAACCAGTTTCCTCTCCCACAATGTTGTTTCCTCAGAAATGTGTGCCTCAGGAATCTGACATGCAAAATAATTCCTTATCAACCTACCAGTGACCAACAGCAAAACAAAGAACACTAAATCCTAGAGACCTGGGGGCAGGGAATCATATACAACAATTTCTGCCTCTCAGGGAAACACGTCTGCAAATAATATACTAAACATATTGTCTACTGGTACCATTAGTGACTATATTTTGCTCCCTTTCTGCATGACATGCTATATTGGGCTTCATATAGCTCACTGCCATGTAGTTGAGAAAATGTTAGCTAGGCACTACTTGAAGGAGTGTAATTTTCTTTCAGCTAACCTATCCAGGAACAGGAGTTGTGGAGAACTGCTCCCAAAAATTTATTTGAAGGGATAAATGAATCTCTTTGAGATTCACACAGGGTACTTCTATTATTCCTCCAATTAGTTCCCCCCGCCATAGAGGGATGTTTAATGTATTAGATTTTCTAATCTAAGATGCTGGGAAACAGGACCATTCATAAGGTGCTTATTTATTACATTTATTTACAGTACTTGTAAACTGCTCAGCCTCTTAAGAAATTTCAAAGCAGGGAACGACTATAAAATTCTCAAAAGACAAAAGGACAAAATTCTACTGATTATTTACATTGATGTAAGTGCAATGGCATAAATTCCAGCAGTGAAATGCCATGAGTTAATACGTTGATGCTTGTACTCCACATTGTGTCAAGGAATATAAGGAATGCTGACACATGACAAGGATTGCAAGCAATAACTATTATAGGTTAAAAAAATTAAAAATTAAAATTAAACTATTAGAAAAATAAAATAAAAATGATTTATTTTTATTTTTAAATTTTGTTTTCAACCTATAATGCTTGCACAGATTAGCATGACTATCTCTTCTACAAGCAGTAACTAGTTAACTAGTGGCAATTCGACCCTGACATTTATTCCACTACACGTATGCCAGCATAAGCAGCTAATAGGATCCTGGTCATCGTTTTAAATGTTTAAAATCTCAAACAATTGCATTAATAAACTATGGGTTTTGTTTCAGTCAGGGAAGGATTGTTTAGTTTAGAAGTGCATTCAGCAAGCACCAAGCACTGTGAAGGTCAATGGACTGGCATAGCAGAAGAGAACGCGGAAGGGGCAGATAGAGGGAAGCAGTGAGGAATAATTAGCAGATCTATTCCTGACATGAAAATATTCAACATTTGTGGCAAAAGCAGTTGCATGATAAAGAATACAAGCTGCCTTGAGTAACTCTTTTGAGAGAAAAAGTGTAGGGGATAAAATATCCAAATAAATATAACTGAAAAGTACTAATGAATTTGGTTCCCTACCATCCATTGTTTCACACTGTTTTTATGGTTCCTGGGCAGCTCCTTATTTGCCAAGTACTGCAAACTGGTAAGAACACAGTAGGAGTAATGATAGTCAAACCTGATCAAAACATCATTAAAAAGAAATGCAGTCAGGAAGGGGTGGAGGAATTGTCTCTGGCGTGCGATTCCCAAGCCTTGAGTCCTCTGTCCTTACATTATATTACATATTTCTAGTCCTAAGCTTTGTCTTGTTTCTCATTTAAATTCCTCCAGTTCAAATTCAAAAATTTAATAATGTCACAAAGAAAGCCATAAGCTCTTCGACATGTAGACCTGCCTTCAGCTCAGCTTGGGAGCAGTTTGAGACTTCTGCTTCACGATTGTCTGCTGCAACCCTAGATCAGTTGTTACTGCAATACTCTGTATAATGGCTCAGGCTTTTCGTACCCAGTCTACTCTGACGCAACCTGACATCCTGGTGAGGCCTCCATCAATTCTGTATGCTCGTTTCTATATGCCACTTCTGAAACTCCAACTAAACCCATTGGTTGGCTTTTGCACTGAGACAGTCTGTCCCGCTACATTTTCCCTCTCTTTCTGTTGCGAAAGAAGAAGGAGCAGTGAAGTTTCACCTCAGAATTGTCTCACGTGGGCTTCTGTCACATGAGCACCCGTGCCATTTTTCTTTGGTGGGTTGCTGCTTAAATGAGACCAAGGAATGTCAATCACTAGGTGCCATGCACACTTTCAAGTAGTTATTTATAGTTATTTAAAGAATCTTCTACTTGGCAGGGGCAAGCTGTTCAAGTCTTCTTTAAATGTAATGAATCCTAAGAAGGACAAGCAAGGGCACTGACAAGCAACAAGGTGGGAGACTCAGTGAGCACTTGGGATGGCTGTTCCAAGCCTTTCCTCCTCCAGTAAAATAGATGACAATCTGTTTAAATTATAAATTTAATCTTTCATGTTGTACCCATTGTGTAATTCTCTATGAACCGATGTCCTTTTTGGTGACGCCTCATAAGTGGCCGCCCTAAAGCCAAAGCACAGGGGCCCAAATTAAGCACACTCCAGCAGTGTCTGCCCAGTAATTATGCAAAATTCAGGCTCTGGTTCTTCACATCTATAAGCAGATATTTTCTCTTTTAATCTCAGTTACTCCTTCTGGGAAATTGTTGCACTAACACTCAGTGTTCCCAGGGTTCTTGTTTCTTTACATTTCATAAAAGAGACTCCTTCTGGGTCAGACAGTGAGGGAAACCTGTGGTGTCACCTATTGCATCCCATTAACTTTTGCTCCTGAAAATCTCATCATTCTGAGACTTTGGTCTATTTTTTTTTAAGGGCACATATGTAGAATTTGTTCACACTCTCTTCACAGGCAAGCAACATGAAGTCATTAACATGCATTTCAATTAACAGGACTACAGTTGAAAATAAAACTAACACCTGCAAGTAAAGGACGGAAGTGGCAATAGGGTACATATTTGAAATCCTTCTTCCTTTGAAACTTTATTGAACCTTTCATGAGAAAGGTTGCTGATGAATATGTCCACACAGTCAAGGAAGCTAGGGTTTTAGAATTTAATATTTGCACATATTTAACATTTGCAAAAACATAGTACTGAATATTTCAATATTTGCACTCATTTAAATAATATTCCTAAATGCCCATGTTAAAAGCAAAAATATCAAACACTTCAGGTTGCTATGAATTAGGAAAATGGTAGATTCTGTCTTTATTCCTTTCTATTCATAAACTCTTTATCTAGATAGCTCCTGTTGACAGAGGCAGGCCAGGTCGAGGTTTGAACAGACCCGTAGCAATGAAGAGAATGGAAAAATTAAATTTTTTGGTCAATAACTCTCAGAATCTCTCAGCCAGTAGTCCATTGGCCATGGTAGATGGGAGATCCTAGGTGCCATATGACAGGTTTGGGATAAACATGAAGGAATTGTTAAATGCAGTTTTGTGCATAGAAATAAGTATTTGTCAGAATCACTACTAAAGAGAAAAGTAAAGTAAGAATTTATCCAGCTGAGTAAATTGTAACAGCTAAGAGAGCAATCCCAGGATTGGCTAACCCTGGGATAAAGCTAGCAGACCTAGCACACACACTCTGTGGTGGTGGTATGGGTTGGTGTCATCATGGACTGCTGTTGTTGTGCTGGAGTATCCTGGAAGAAGCTCTGTCTTCGTGCTGAATATTGGGAGAAGAACTCTGTCTACTGGACTGAACATATGGTATATGACTGCTGAACTAATATACAAGGACTTTGACTCTGATTTATGCATTGAACTCTGTTGAAACTGCCGTGTATGACTTCAGGACTAGAAACAAGGACTAAGCTGCACATGTATTATTTACAGGATATATACATACAACAATTCTGCTATCAACACTACTTTATTGCTTGGCGTCTTCATCTCTCAGGGAAGTTCTACTAGTTAACACCACCTGGTGCATCCTGGTAATACCGCAACTCTGTCACCATAGGAC